CTGGAGCTCGCAGTCTGATACCCTTTCCTTCGAATGTGATGGGCTGAGCCCATGATGGCCTCGGCAACCCTCGGCCGTGGTATCATGATAACGTCATCCTGAAGCAGGCAGTGTCTGTGTGTTCCGGAGCATATAAGAGCTGCCCTCTCTTCCTGTCATCTAGTTCTCTCTTTTCTTCTTCTCTCTCCATTCGAGGCAAACTCGTAGAGTCGTCACCAGCTAGTTGCAATATACTCCTGGGACCGTTACATCCCCCTCCGGCGCCTACTTGTATGGGCACCTTCACATGCGTCTATGGGCTCCCATGCGTACACGTACTAACTACACGCTAAGGCGAGCCTCTTCTTCTTGAAGACTTTCACCCGCACTGGCGCTTAATACGTGACGGGGCTCCACTTCACCTTCTAGAGCCCCGCCGTATAGAGCCAAAAGCGACGAAAAGCACTCTCCCAGCGTCAAGTACGAAGCGTGAGCCTAGTAAATTCGAGGTTGTCGAGGCGGCGCAGGCGACCGTGGCTGGAGAGACAGGCGCTTCGTCGGTTTTTGGGACCAGAGTGATCTAGGCCGACGACTTGAGAAACCCACCACTGAACACTTTCGTGTATATCTCCCGGGCTCTCGAGATGCGTACCCCAACATCTCGCGAACGTCGTCCTGCACCGACTTCGCCCGGCGTCGCTTGGATCCGGTAGTGCCGAACATTATCCCGTTTCAACCTGAGCTGCCGACTGAACCGAGTTCTGACTTGAGAATTGCTTGACTTTGGTGTTTACTTTGGCGCGGGGCAACGCTGCGTTAGATGCATTTTTGGTTTATGTAAGCAGATTTGGGATTACATAATACGCACATGGATGTGCGCCTAGTGGGAGCCGTATTACCCCTGACCAGGGTACGACACCGGCAACCCAGTTCCCGAGTTTCAAGCGCCATCACTTCCAACAGTACGTTAACTACTAATATTCAAGATACTCAGTACAATATTGTCCTCCGGACAGGATAAGTGTGTAAATAGATCAAGACTACGCAGATGTATAAAAGATTCCTGTTTGCGACTTATTTGACGTTAAATAATGTTAATTTCACTCTCCACGACACCACGAGTAAGGCCTTCCCACCCAGATTGATAGACAGTGACCGATAATCCCACCCTCTCAAACCATCTCGGTGAACTCTCGGATCTCCTCAGCACCAGAGAAGCGATGGGCATTGCTTTAGTCAAAGTCGCGCCTTGTATCTCCCGTTGACAGGCAACCGGAAGCAAGTAGTGAAGTTGGTGGAAATCTATCTCTAGGTCACCATGGATGGTCTGGACATCCGGGGTGATAGCTCCAATGTCTTGTGTCTCCCTGTCGATGCGAGGATCAATCACTTTGATGAGAGCCGGATACTCCTTGGATGTGGGTGGTACGAACTCCAGCTTGATCGGTATCAGGCGACCAGATAATACAAGGTTCCCGCGCTTTACCGGGCCGAAGCGGTTCGCCGTGGCCGGCTCAGTCTGGACATCGACAACACGGACTTGGATGTCCCCGGCGTCTCGAATATGGACGACGGCACCGGAGATCGATGCCCACGACCAGGATGGCGCATAGTACGCCTGGTGCCTCCGAGAGCCACGATCTGGCGCCATGAACCCGACAGAATGGGCGAACCAGAGAAGATGACGAGGAAGCTCTCGGCTCCATAGCCCGGCGTGATAGGTGTCTCCTTCCGCTCTCTCCCAGCAGGCTGCGATGCCTGAAAGCCCGGGGAGCCGATCCGAAAGATAAGTCATGTCACGGCGCGTGTATTCTGATACGAGGGAATACCAGGTCTCCACCTTCACCCGGGGCGTCTGCCGTTTTGCGCTGCTGCTCATCCCTGAAGTGGCGGCGGGTGTCGCCGAACCCTCTCTTCCCGTGAACTTGGCCAGCGTGAGACGGAGGGGACTGGTCACCAGTGCCTCGCGAGAGCCCCGGCACTCGCACGCATTAGCCGTGGAGCAGCGCCACTGGAGCTCGTCGTCCGTGTAGAAGAGCATGCGCGTAGCGAGTTCTTCCTCCTGAAACGTCCACGCCCGAGTCTCCAGTGGCTGCCCGAACGCCGATCTCCAGCCATGAGTATACTCGCCGCCGCGCATCTCTGCTAGCGTGAAGTAGAACCCTTTCCGGGACCGTCTCACATATGCGAAGCTTGTGCCGCCACCTTCTCGACCCGGGCACTCAAGACGCAACACACCTTCGGAACTTGCGTTGCGGCCGCCTCGGAAACAGCCGCCGTCTCCGTCCGATGCGCCGCTAGCGGCAATGACGAGGAATGCATTGGCGTATACTCCGGCCATTCTTGAAGCCTCGATGACCCAGTCATGGGCGTCGCCTTGGATGATACACAGAGAATCGATCCAGAGGTACTGGTAGCCCAAACGTCGGGTGATCAAGATGGCGTCGCGGAAGGTGTTGCTCAGCATTGCCCATGGTATCTCGACCTGAAACTGCTGCAGCGTGTCCACCGTGGTCTTGATCGTAACTGCGGCCTTGGCGGGCGGGCCCCAGCAGTGGCTAAGTGCAAGGTATTCGGCACGCTCGTGCTGCTGGGTGATGTGTAGGCGTGGTGGCTGGTTCGCCGATCCGACATGGACGACTCGAGTGGGAAGCTCCGGAAGCTGGCTAAGTGGGCACTGAGAGTGATTTGCCAGGCAATCACTGATCCAGCCTTGGACGAGGTTGAAGCACTCTTCCGAGGACGAATCAGCTGAAACTTCGGTTCCAAACCCGATCCACGGGTACGGTGTCGGCATGTCTAGGTTGATACACGACAATAAGCACCGTAATAAACCCCAGTATGGGACAATGTTTGCTCGGGTTTGATCAAGGCACGGGTATGATAAGCGAGACAGAATCGTGCCCACCTCTGTGTGCGTACACCTCCACGGTCTCTTCTGAAGGCGAGTTCTTAACGAGATATGTTAATGCTAATGGCCCACCTTCCCTCCTCTTCGCCTCCACCTTGTCTACCTCAATGATAAAGTCTGGTCGTGCATGAGCAAGGCTTTTTGTGAGGAGTTGGCAAGTGGCACAACCCCCATCAGCAGACTGAGCAATAGCTGCTGGCTCGAAGGTGAAAGAGTCCTTGTTCTCGGTGTTCAGCTCCCCACAAATATTGCAGGGAGAGACAGGATCATTCGACAACATGGAGGAGTACTCGCCGGATCTTGAGGCACTTGGGAGACACTGCGCGAGGTGGGGTGTCGTGGAGGAACGAGAGCAGGTGGAATCTCAATCGCTCCCGCACGGAGGAAGCTTGCAGTCGAATTGGGAGTCGAACCGGAATCGGGCCAAAGCCGTAATCGACGAAATGCGTCGCAAGTTGGAAATTCGCGTCTAGCGGACGGAAAGGGGAGTAAGACCCGGAGAAAGAGCTGCCGAAGAGCGTCAGCGCAGCGTGCGGCAAGGATGCCAAATGAGGAGAAGACAAGGGTGTACGCGCAGGTTGGCGAAATGAGTATCAGAGCGCGGGCTAGGTGCAATACTGACCGGCGGCCGCAATTGAGGGGTAGGGAGCGGGACAGCGAGCGAAGGAGGGATGGAGAGAAGTCGTGAGTACAAGAAAAGGACGTCGAGAGAGGTGCAGCTCTATTTATGCTGCGGGCGCGCTAGGCCGTGTGAGCGGGGGCGGTATGGCCCGGCGCTATGCCCGATCCAGAAGGACGCCATTTCCGGATGCAGGACCAGCGTGTTCTCAATTACGCAAACCGGCGCACATCTGCGGTGGGTGCATAGGACTTGTGTGTTGGTCAGTGTTGTCGAGTTCTCGGTTTGACGCTGTTGGGCTTAAACAAACGATAGAAATGCGGTGCCTTTAAGCATCCAATGTTGTAGTTTTGTTGGTGGACATCCCGTATTGTATTTCCCATATCCCTGGTTGGTGGCCTCAAAGTCCAGCGTCTTCCGACTGAACAAGCTAATTCTGTCATGAGCAATTATCAGCGCCACACCAAATCATAAACATGTGAGAAACCACGTTCTATGTCCTAGTTCGTTACCCAACCCTGGCCCTTCTAGATTCCACACACCCCTAGATACCCAAAGCGAGTTCCGCCCTAAAGTGGAGCCCCTACCCATTCTCCGGTTCCAGATGACAGAAGAGAGAAGGGCGGAAGTTGAATGAGACGAGCAGACTCCCAATGCTTGATGCTCCACCTCCAAAGCAGCTTATTAGCGAACAAACAAGCTTTGCGTGGCAGAGCTTGTTCAGGTGGGTGACGGCAGTGGTCTTGAATTCATACCCAGTGACAGATCTGAGCAAATTCGGAGCAATCCGGACGTCATGAGAGACGTGTCTCCTTAACGGCAAACTGGACGATGGGAAGTTGAGGCTGCCTATCTACAAATAGTTGTGTGGATTCTGCTTTAGCCCTTCACCACTAGATATTAACCGCCAACATAACCAGTCCGATCAGCATCTCCCAGGGAGTCGGACCACTCGCAGCAGCAGCGCTAGTCCGGTTCTGGGTTTGGCGAGTACCGCTCGCAGCTGTGCCTGTAGCGACCGTGCCAGTAGCAGCTGTACGCGTAGCATCCATGCCCGGACCAGCTGTGCCCGTATCAGCCGTGCGCGTCGCAGTTCTGCCGATTGTCGCGGTACTGCTTCTCACCGTGGTACCTCTGGCCGAACTTTGCGAATCGTTGCTCCCACCAGTTTCGACCCCGGAACATACCGCAGCGGGGTTTTGAAGGGGGTGAGAATGCTAGTTTACAGCGCTATGATAGCCTGAAAAGTTTTTGACAGCGCTGGAAACTAGCATTCCCAATTCAACTAGCATTCCTAGTTCAACTAGCATCCCCACGCCCGCACCTGCGGCAGCCTGATCCAGCGCCTAGCCTGGTGTATTCCGTACGCTCCGCTGCACCCCCATTGCACTTACATTGCATCCTGCCATTGCACCCTCTGTTGCGCTCTGTCATTGCACTCCGGCAGTTTGAACCACTGCCGCATTCAGCGTCTATTTCCCTATCTCAAAATCCAGTCAACCCCTCCACAAGACGGGAGTCGTGTACATCCATCCCCGGCGGAGAACTTCAGATCGGCGGGTCCAGACATCATGCAAGACCTCTTGGCCCTTTCTGCGACCGGTTGATCTGATTGAACGGAAGCGCTGTCGGTCTGTCGGTTGGCAGGAGAGGGGGGCCAACGCCACCTTCACGGTTGTCTTCGCCCTCTACCCTAGCATGCCTAGGTAATGCGTCTACCACGTCACCAGCTCGTTACTGACACAGGCGTCATGAGGGGAGGTAGAAATGGGCAGCTTACATCGCACGCTCTTACAACGTATGTACGTCCCAGTTCACCCAAATGATACCAACGCCCTTGACCGGTACCATGTAGAGACGCACAGCACGAATGGTAGGCACCCCAACCACCACAGCATCTTCCGTCTCCTCCATGATCTCCAAGTCCAGGAGCTCGTGTCGAGTCTTTGTACGCTTGATCAATGTCAGTACTGTAAAGATGTGTCTGTCCTCGTCGTTGTCGAGGACGAAGATATGGCCCACACGCCCGAAAAGAGCCTGGTTGTCGCGCTTGAACCGTACAAAGTCGCCAGTGCTGAACGTGAAGCGGTTGTTCGACTTCCTGCCCGTAAAAATGAAACGTTAACCTGGGCACACTGCCAAGCTATGTCAAACCTTTGTTTGCCACCCCTGGGTTAATCTTCCTCCCAGGACCCTGTGCTCCTAAACAAGCCGGCCGTTTGGGGGAATCCGACGAGGAGCCAGGCTTACGTGCCCTGATGATGGAAGAGGGGGTGGAGGAATGGGGACTTGGGGAATGAATCTAGTGATCTGGTAAGTACCTGTCGGTGAATCCGAACTTCCGAGACCACTGGATTGGCCGGTTCTCGAACAGAGATGGATATTGTGCAGGTTTGCCGTAATCGTATCGGTATGCCAGTCGGAGATGACCACGCCAAGTCGATGTTGTGTTGAGGTCCCCGGAACAAGTCGGAATTCTGTTGCCATTATTAACTGAATGGGTTGCGACAACACTTTTTATTGGGATACGATTGATCGCCGACGGTTTGAGATGATTTCTGTCGGCAGACTGGTCGACTTCCATCTCGTGGTCTTCGTTTTCGAGTAGGGCATCCATCTCATTTCGGTCCGTTCGAGACAGTCCTTTATTGAAGAGGGCTGGGCACTGCTGGTAAAGTGCAATCATTTCGCTGGTGAGTTCCGGGTCGTCATATTGAAATGCGTTCTGGAGGAGCAGACGCATCGTCTCTTGGAAATTGACTTTCATCAGCAAAACCTTCTCCACGTTGGAGTAATTTGTTTCGTAGATACGAGTCTTGAAGTACCTAGAGTAAAAGCCGTTAACGTTAACTTAGCGAAAATCCAGACGGTAAGACGGTAAGTAAGTTTTTTCGAAAAAAACCGGCACAAGAGATTGAGGTGAAGCGAGCGACGACACATGGGCGACGCAGACTCGGATTTCTATGAGGTCAACGGTTTCGTGTTTGCTGGTAAGCCTTCTCCGAGCATAATGCCAGAAAGACTCCGCGACAGGAGCCAGACACGAAGCCATACGAATTTCGCTGTCCAACACTCTTGAGCTTGGTGGTAGGCGTTCTCCAGACAAGGTGCTAACATCAGTACAAGCACCATAGCCAGACAGTCTCACGACAAGACCTGAACATCAAGCCATGTAGATCTGGCCAAGTCCAACGGTTTCGGGTTTTCTAGTGAAGGTTTATTAAGCAAGGCAGGGGTACAGGTGAGAGACAATTACTGACGGAAGTTAGACATACTGGTGTAAGTTTTCACCTGTGAGTGTGTTGCAGTTGACAGGTAAAGCGTATTCCTCGGCAAATACTGGGAAATGAACGGCGGCATGAATGTTTGGGCGCAATGTGTCGTTCTGGTACTGTCATGCCCGGCCGGAATTTATCAGCAACACCGTCTTGGAGCTTCCAACCAGGGTCTTCGTGTTCCTCGCCAGTGTGGTGGTCAATGTACACATCGAGATGCCCAAATACACTGGTCTCCGGAACATAAACCAGGTTCGATGATAGTACCAACTCCCGGTCGGTCTGTGGTGGCGTGATTTCAATGTTTGCGAGTCGGTGGTCGCCAAGTCGGCATGCCTCCTGAATCTGTAGGCACATCTGGTTTCGAAGTTGTGTGCATGGATCTTCGCGGTGATCGAGCCCAACACCATAGACCCGGCCGATATGTAGATTAACAATGTCGTCAGAGTCGTCCTCAATGTCGCGGCATTTCCAGACGCAGTTCTCTGATGTACATCGGAAGTATACCCACTCGGAAGGAAGATGGCCGGTCCTTGCAGCGTTCCGAATGAATCAAATCAAACCAAATCAGACTCAGATTTGATTTGATTTGAGCGGACAGGGGTGATATTTGATTTGGTTTGAGTTTGATTTGAATACAGTCAAATCTATTCAAATTGTTAGAACACAAGTGGCGCCTTGCCATCGCGGTTTGCAGTCAAGCAACCTCCCTGCTTCAAAACACCCGTTTTGACAGCCAATACTTCAAACAAACGAGCTGCTCAATTGTCTGGTCCATCAATCGACACCTTTGTGTCGATATCGTCAACTTCGATTGGCTGAATACTCTCTCAACCTCACAAGAAGTGGCCGGTTTTGATAGGATATCGAACGCCATTCTTGCCAGCTTTGGCAACGAAGTCTGGTGCCGCCGCCACCATTCTAGGGGGTCCTCCACAGGTAACAACGGCAAAGAGAAGTATTCAGTAATCTC